GAGGTTTCCAAGCACTTACCCAAACTTTCTGATGAACTTAGTGAAGATGTTCTTCAGCTTTGTTCTGAAGTGCCTCCTCACATCATCACTGATTTTCCCAATAGCTTCCATCTGAGGCACAAAAACGAGGGTGAAATCTCATTTAAATGGAGGACAAATGTCTTTTCTATTTGGCTCTCAGAACCCAGAATGTATAATGCATACCATGATGGTGACATGTGAGGCTAGCGTCTTAGGGTCCATGATGAAGAGGATGACCTTGATGAAGCCTAGTGCAGCTTTGACCAACTCTCTGGTACGAGACGACAGCAGCAGACAAACATTGTGCAGCAGCTGCTCCATGACGGTCACCTCAATAGAATCTGGGACAGGAAAGGCACCAGACTGAATCCAGTCCACAAACACAAAGCGTCCAAAACAGCAACATGAAGCAGCTTAAAGTCCTACCTTTATATTCAAACACCAGTCGTGTTAGCGCCAACACTGTGCAGGTGATCATGGTGACTGAACCTGTGAGTCCTGCATACACCAAAACCAAATACTGCTCCATGGCATCTGGATCACAGACAGACACTATCAGTACTTCCAAACCTCTTCAGTCCATGTGTCTCCACACACACAATAAAGGGAAGACAAGTGCCTTACAGTTTGTGTTCCCACAGAAGCGAATAAAAGCGTTTCCTATTTCCACCAGCAGATTGTAGGCATTCTTGCGAGCTCCAACAGACACCTCCTTGGTGCATATAATCACCTGAAAGAAAGATTGTCTTCATCAAAATGATGCACATCAGCACTCTGTGTTTGTGTGGCTCACAGCACTATTTGTGTGTACCTCTGGCAGCAGTGCGGTGATGAAGTCTTGGTGTTGTTCGTTGAGCCTTTTCACAATGTGGATCAGACACTTTAGTCTTGGCTGAGAAATAGCAACACAAGAGTCAGACAGCATTTTAAATAAACACATACAATCCTGTCTAATGTCTGGTTGGCTTTATTTCTCTCTATGGAACAAGTCTCACCCTTTTTGCTGGTGAAGATGCATTTTTCAGAGTCTCAAGCAGCACAGCTTTGAGCGTTTCCAAATTGGCCAAAACAAATGATCTACATTCCTCTCGCTCACCTCCGCACATCTCCTCAAGCACCCGGTAAGCCTTCTTCTGCATGCCTGGTTCTTTGGTCTGAAAGCAAATGCACAGTGGAACCAAAAGAGTTTGGCAAGAAATATACTTCAGTGGGCTTGAGGTAAGTACACCGATTGCGTCCTTACCTCCAAATATGGCCTAATCAGCTCAAAGGTTTTAGTCATGGTAACCACGTCTACAAAGGGAGCCATGGCAACCACAAGGTCCATCATTGATAGCCTGAGAGTCAAAACAGACAATAGTGAGTATTCTGATATTTACTTCATTATAACATACTTCCACAGCAGTACATCCATATTAATGTCCTACCGTGTAAACTCAGTGGTGTCTGTGCTGCTCAATCTGTCTGTGGCTTTTTGCAGAAAAGTGCAGGTCATCTGAGGATGATGGTTTTAATTTGTGATACACACACAAAGAAATATGGCATATAACATGAGTCTGTGAGGCGGATAATTAGGTAAATAATCAAGAAATGCCTCAACACTGAACTATATGAGAACAATGTGCAGCAGAATGTGCACAAACTTAAATGACCTGTGTTTCAGTGATGGTCAGGTAGACTTTTATGGTGTCTAGTACAGCCATCCTATAGGTGCCAGAGTCTCCAGCTGCAGGCTGCTGGCTGTATATGTTGAAAAGTATGGGCAGGAAGTTCTTAGAGAAGCGCCCGACTTCAGCCTTTTCTTCTTCTGCAGACATAAAGCAGACATGTTTTTTTTAATGGTTTGATTCAAGACAGAGGAGTTTCAGCAGTTTTTATTTCTCTCTATGAACTCGTGTATCTTCCTACCTGTGGAGCAGCTCTTGTTGATGAGAGTACGTAGAGCCTGGCACACTGTGAGTCTCAGATCGGGCCGCTCATTTATAGCCATACCCAGTGAACGGGCAATGCCTTTGAAGGATGTAAGCAGGTCAACGGGACACATACAGAAGCCGGGGAGCATGGTCCAAATCTGATAGAGCACAGACATATACATCTTAACTCATTTCCTGGGTCTCTTTACTCAGTGCATTACCAAGTTAAACCTGTTAAGCTACCTGAAACTGTAAAGTCTGGTAGACTTTGGCCTCCAGCTTCTGTCCTGCTTGCTCCAGCTCATCAGCTACAACACAAGAAAGAGTCAGAGAAAGAAAATCCTCCTTTCCAGTTACTGCAGTGGAGCACCACACACTCAGATTACCTCTCTGCTTTAGTGTAGTGGCCAAAGGGAGAAAATAAGAAGTAAAAAAACCAAGGCGAGCGCTCTTCACATGATCCCGTATGACGGGGACTAGCCAGCTCCGTGGAAACTCCAAGTCATCCCTATTGGGGGAAAAAAACAACATGTACCCAGTGAGGTAAAGCACAATAGTGGAAACAAAGTCATTCCACAGTAAGTCCATGTATGCGCCCTTACTCATAGCCAGTGATGTTGAGAGGCACGGCACCCAGCACAACTTCAGGTCCCATGCTCTCTACAGCTCCTCCTACAGCCAGGTCCAACTCACCACTGAAGGGGAATTGAGGAGTGGAGCGCAGGTCTGCCAGAGACTGCAGAGACTGTCCAGAACACAACACAGAGACTCAGGCAAACATTGATCTGTCTTTATTCACACAGAGACCCACAGCATGTTTACAACTATACCTTAGTCATGATGGGATGAGCCTGTTTCCCTGCAATGCGGTAGAAACAACCCATGATCTGGAGCACAAATGGCCAGGAGGCATGGAAACGATAAGACAGCCCTTCTTCTATGATACTGGAACACAAACACACATCAACAATGACCACGATGAATATTTACAAGTGGTGTACACAAATAACGGAGGAAGATTGAGACTGGCTTAGGAAATGTACCGAAATATTTTGCAGACATAAGAGGGATTTCCTGCAGATGCTGTAGCACTGATCATGCCTATTTCCTCCATGCGAGGGGCAACACATTCAGTCAGCAGAGTCTGAAAAAGATCAACATAAATCATCAATTAGGATTCTGCATATAGTGTAAAAATCAAACCCACCAACTGAATACTTTGTACATTTTGCTTAGCAAGTTAGCAGATGCCTTTCAATCCAGACATACCCTGAGCACAAAAAGCACTGGCAAACCAAAACACGTTTATCAACTTGATTTAATCAATCTGGACACCCAGAAGATAATTTAATTACCTTTAGTGTGCTGGTTGCTGCAGAAACTACCTGCGTGTGAGGTGACAACAGGCAGGACATGGCAGCAGAGAAGAGGCGAGGGAGGTGACCCAAACTCAGGGAACTCTGCAAACTAGCCAGACACAGATTGCTGATCCACACTCTCCTGACTAATCTGACTAAAAAACACATTATAACATGACTGCAAGACAAAGTGTGTTGAGAACCTTGCTAAGTGAATGTGCGCTTTTTCCATGACAGCCAGCCAGGCCAACAGAGGCTGCAGGTCATTCTCACTGGGCAGGTAGTCATACAGGGCCTGGGGATGAGAAATGAGTTTTCATGCACCATTTTGCATTACAACTGCAGCACAATAGTTCTGTTTGTTTTCACTCACCGTGATGATCTGTGCGTTCAGTTCAGGCGATAAGGCCGAAGCATTTGGCTTCCCGTTGAACAGCCTATGGAAGGTCTGCATGGCACTCGCCGTCACCAGCTCCAGACAGACACACAGCAGAAAAATTTTAACTTAAAATCCAGAGTCCTTGAAGATTAACAAAGGGCACCTGGCTGCCCCTATGAAAGTTTCTAGTGTTCTTACCACGTGGCTGAGTGTCATCACTCGCAGGAGCATCTCACAACAGGACTTCACAGCTCCCAGAGGAAACACTCCCATCAGCTCTTTTAGGAGACCAAGCACGTGAAGAGTGGTAGTGTCCTCTTTGCTGCCTGAAGAGAAAAAAAATTGATAAACTGCAACTTCCTTGGCAAGGACAGAATTACAAACAATTTACCATCATCACAATAAGAACAAATAGGTACATACCAGGCAATACAACTGTATGCATCAGTGACTATGTTCTTTTACCTCCTGCCTGCTCCATTTCTTTGATGCAGAACTTGGCTGTGGTCACTGCAGCAGGGTGGTGGCTTGGAGCATTATCTGTAAACAGCAAGTCACTACCTCTGAGAATGGAGCAAACACCCTGCTGTGCTGCTTTACGGACCTGGGAGGAATAAGTGGACATAAAATTTAATGATACAAAATTGCACTATTCTATCATCTCATTTGATGTTAAATTCACAATCATACTGTTTTGACAGTAACTAGTTGGTCAGTAAGAAAGACCTTAGGCTTGCTGTGCACTGTGAAGCTGAGCAAGCCGTGGTAAGCCTGAAGAGTAGATGGGTAAGTCCACACAGATGCATCCTGCTTCCTCAACAAAGTGGCCAGGCATGACAGAATCTACGGGTGCAAAGACAACAAAAGCAATATTTGTGACAGTTTTCAACAATGAACATTTAAGAGACTAACAGTCACAGAGACACATCTGCTCACCCATCTGAGAGCCGAGGCGGTCTCACACCTGGCCTGTTTAGACATGACTTCCATCAGAGCCTTGGTGGTGTCTGAGAACTTGGACCTGAGCACTGGAGCAGGAACCCTATGGAACACAGTTCACCAATCACATGAAAACACATTTCCAGTCACATCTGATGAGCTTTGACATGACTAGGGAGGGACATGACATGACTGGGGGCTGTTATTGGGGAGTCCTACCGTTTCATGACAAGGTTGAGGAGGTATGCCACTGCAGCCTGCGACTCTGTTGAATCCACAACCTCCAAGGTGGTCATCTACAAAAAGCAAAGACATGCTTCTCTTCTTCAGACACAGTAGCTAGGCTCACTACCATTTTTCAACACAGCGCAAGTTATTTGGCGGTGCCTTAGTTGATATGTTGAAAGAAATGCACTCACCAAAGCAGCAAAGTACTCTGTTTCAGTTTCCTTCCCTCCTTGACCACGTATCACCTCAGTAACAGCTGCCAACACTGCACAAATCTATGAGGTGCATTAGGTGAAATGTTACAGCTCCAGGAAAACTCAACTTTTCATAACTCATAACTTTTCAGTTACTCACTTTTTTAGGTTTTGCTCCTACAGCAAAAGTATGATTTGACTACATTCAAACAAGAATTCTGCAAAAATTACACATCATCTATATTAACTGGGCGATTTGAATTCCTTGAGTATAATGCCTACCTCTTTGTGTGCAGCTGAATTGGACTCCCAGAAGCGCTGCACCTTTCTGAAGGTCAGGTTGGAGCAGTCTGACAGACCACTGAGGAAGGTGCACGAGGTTCTTTCTGACGCCTCTTCTGGCTCCTCTTCCATAAAGGTACCTTTACCGGCGCTTGCACCGATCTCCAGCGAACCTGTCTGCAGTTCATTGTGTAACTTAACAGCGTCAACTGTTAGATCACTCTTGGAAAGAACAATGAGAGATGCATCATTGCATTAAGATGACTTCCTCACAAAAGTGGTCATAACTAATGAAAGCCACAATAGGGTTTTCACTTTTAGAAACCAGCAGAATACCTTTAGGTTACCTTTACCAGTTTGTTCAGCAAAATTCAATAATTTTACCTTAGTACATTTTGACATGACCTGGTGGTGTGGTAACTTGCTACTTTAATTGTGTAAACACCTTTATTTGTTCAGCATTATAAGGCAATACATATGAACAACGATCATAAACATTCAACCAAAGTAAACAAGAGATTTTGAGGTTTATGCATAACCTTGCTCCAACTACACATATACATTCCATTGAAGAGGATCAGACTGAAGACCCTTGAACAAGTACATTAGACACAATCAGATACTTGGCATATACATTCCATTGATGAGGATCAGACTGAAGACCATTGAAAAAGTACATTAGACACAATCAGATACTTGGCACCTTTCTGGGTGATGCTTAGCCAGGCTCCAAGCTCCATTTTCTCTTGTCTTGGGGACTGAAAGTCGCCTGGCTAAGCATCTCCAAGAAAGGCACCAGGTCTCTGAACTTTCAACACAACCAAATAACGGATATGATGGCATGATTAATCAATTAGTTTTAGTACCCTGTAAAGAGCCGTTGTCGTAATTTAAAGACGCTGTAAAGCAATGTGTCTCCTTGGATTACACAGCCACAAACGCACAGAAGTAGCTATTAAAAATCAAAAACTAAACTGACCGAAGTTATTTCAGCTGACCAAAGAGGAAAGACGGGAACATAGAAAGCTACTTTTCCGCTGACACCATTATTAGCATTGCTTATAAGTATTTAAGACACAGATGTTTGGCTTGGGTTGTCAGAAGTTAAATGGCTAACGGTAGCTAATGTTAGCATTAGCCAGAGACCCACGTGTACTTACCGGTGGGTCGGATGAAGAAGCGGCTTTTAGCAGCCTGCCGAAAACGGCCCCCCCCGGGGGGTTGTCCCTTCTTCCACCGTTTGAGTTTCGACCCGGTTCCAGATCGAAGCTTCCCCGATTTCACCATTTTCGGGGTTCAAAACAATCACGTTACACCAAGGATCTGTGAAGCTCCAGATGACTCTGTCGCTTACCAAGTGACGTCACATGTGTTCTCGCGTGACTGACCTGGACTTGAGTTATGCTGCTATTAGAGGGCGCTATTCAGCACAGAAAAACACCCACAACACCACAGTTATGAATGTATTATGAGATCTATACCTAATTATATCACTTCTATCTACCAATAGTAAACGCCCCTTTCCCTGTCTTGAATTTATAAACTTAACCTTTCTCCCTATAGATAGATATTATAGGCTATTTGAAACAATACAGATGTTTTGCAAAACACCACAAATGAAAAGCAAATGAAGCATGAAATATATCTGGTTAGTCAACAATTTTATTCTAAAGGTTCAGTTATGACTTCTGCTACTACAACTACTGGTAAAGGTAAAAAATTCTTATTTCAACATACATTAAGAACATGTTTTTATGGTTTAAAGGTCTGGCCCTGTACTGCACTATTTGTTTTTGCATTCTTCTGCATTTCACAATAACCGGTTTGTTTGTCAAGCAGCCCATTTGTCTATCCACAAATCTTGAATAAAAAAAAAAAGAAAAATCAATCAATCTAATTATGTTTTGTAACTCGTAAAGCCACAAAACAAATCAATTCTCCATTTACTTTTAAGTTGTATTGTGCAGTGGATGTCTCCACAGAGGTCCCTGCACAGGCATCTTTCTCCAAATATGACCTTCCTGCCTCAGGTTCACTTGTTTGTTAAATGTCTATAAAACTTTATTTGGACTGTATGACAAGAGCATCAGATATGTCAGATTATTCATTAAATGCAGAATGAACGTTCACATGTGATGTACACTGAATGGCCACTTTATTAGGTACACCTATACAATTCTATGTAATTCATTGAAATAATTATACCTTATCTGCGTTTATGAAGCTCAAAATGTTTACATTTTTGGCAAAATTGTCAAATATATAAATTCAATTGTGTTTATTACTGTTGTGCTATAGTTAAAGATGGTGTTTTACTGACGTTCCTAATAATCTGATCCTTTCATTATGTAGCCTGGGAGGACAAAAATATAGACACCTGTAAATATAATGGAGCCAAGTACACCACCTTTAATTATAATAGACTTTTTGAAAAATTAAAAGCACATAAAATTGATTTTCACCCTGAATTGATTTTGTGTTGTGCAAGACTGACTGTTAGGGTTAGCCCCCCCTCACCAGGAGGGTGAGGGAGAACTAGGGGTAGGACTCGAGATAGCCGACCCAGGGCTGGTACACAAAAAAAGTTTAATGTACGACAAACCAACAACGTAACAACATAACAGTGTCCATAATAAATACGAACAGGTGCACACACAAACTAACGGCAGGAAACAGGAGTAGCGGACCAGGGAAGACAGGCGAACAAAACGGATATCCACGGCACAGGGACTGTCAGCCGGGAAATCAAAAGGACGTAATTCCGGTAAGTACTGTAAAGTAAGTTAGGTAATGCTCTGGCAAAGACGGATCAAAAATATGTGGTGTGGTGGGGTGTAGTGTGAAGAGCGTAGCGCGTAGGGTGTGTGGAAGAATCAAGCCAAAAAACGCACAGTGTCTGTCAGCATAGCAGTCTCACCACGTGTCCGCGTTACTATGTTAATGTTTGCTATTGTTAGTTAATGTTCGTTGATGTTAGTTAATGTTCCGGCGAGCACGGAGCGTCTGCCAGAGGTTTATATAAGGAGAAGGTAATCATCGGGATACACCCCAGCTGTGTGTGTAGACAAACCAGTTACTAATTACTGGAATGCAACACAGCTGAGGTGCAGAGCCCATTGACGGAGAAAAACAGAGAAGACAAACGGAGGAGAGGCAGCGGCCCTGACACTGACACTGACAACTCCTGTGGGTATTATCAGACGCTCTGCACACTGGTACTTTCATGTTTTTTTAAAACATGAAGAATTTACCAACGCAATCTAGGATGGATATATGGAAAATTATACAATCTTAAACATTTGACAAACCTGCAGGAACCTAATGTTAAAAATATTTAACCATGTATTTCTGCACAAGGCAAATTTACCAGAAGTTAACGTTCAAGAAACAAATAGTTTCATGGTGCATATTTGTTTCTAACAAAGAAATGCACTACCAGATTTTTGAAGGAGTTTGGGGACTTTGTTTACAGCTCATCAATGTCAAACATGGCCAAAGAAGTGAATTGACAGCCAGCAGCCTAATTTTAAAAATGATTATTGCAGTAAATCCAGCTTTATGGATTACTGCTACAACTTTACTGGAAGATGTTATATTTAAGTTAGCACAGCTTGAGTTATACAGTATAATAAATATTATGTTTGTACTCATAAAAGAAAAATTAACCTGCTGAATTTTTGAAGGGACTTTGGTCACAAAACAAGGGGTTTATAGAGTGAAACGAACGCTGTCCTTGGTGCTGAACAGGGGAATCCTGAACACCACCTTTTGACTCAGGATCTAACCCGGTCCCTCTCCACCAATAACAAATGGTCTGAAAGACATGCTTCAGCTTCACATTTGTAGTTTTCACCACACATTTATTTCAGTTACAATTTTTATGAATTAAGTTTTACACACAAAATGTGCTGAATATCTGATGCTTCATTAACACAATTCTACATGCCGTCAACCTGAGCACTTGAATTTAATTTGTATAGCATCAAACAAAAGTCACGGGACATTTTACATAAGTAAGGTCTAAAACTTAACATTTAGAGAAAACCTCAACAAGTCCCCCTTGAGTAAGCACTTAGCGACGGCGGAGAGGAAAAACTCCCTTTAGCATTACATCTCCTGTAGTTTAACTTCTGCTCATCTAGACCAAACCAAGCACCTCTAAAAATGCACCAAACAGACCCGTCTCCTCCAACGTGCCCTAAAGACTGACTAGATAGAGCTGTCTGAATATGCTTAGACCTCATCTCAAACAAACCAGGTGCCTCCAAAGTGATGAAATAAAACAAATCTTATCTCATACCTTTTAGTAAGGTGCCTTCCTTACATTCCTTGTCTTCATTATGAATATGCAGTTGTGAAATTAACATATAATACACATATACAGTAGTTACATGACCAAACAGTACATATGGTATTTACATTTTTGTTTCCCATTAGAGTTTTCTGCCATCCTGATTCTCAAATTGCATGACAGAAACCTTAAAAAAAAGTAAAAGAAAGAAAGAAAAAAGTGAGAATTGATTTTTCCTTGGATGCCTGGATAATCCACGTTCAATTTAACAATTAGCACAAGTACAATCACACATGACAAGGAGGCAAACGTGTAAACAATAGAGCTGTGAATTGATGTCCACACAAACAAACTGATACTGAGATGCACATCTTAGTAATCTACTTTTTGGTGTTTCAGTGCCTTTTAGTACTCTTACTTCATTTGGAAAAAAAATAGAAAAGGAGCAATACAAAAGCAATAAATTCTTTTATTTAAAAAAGTACACAAAATTCCAATGCAGTTCCAACTGGAAAATAATTACAGGTCCTATTCCTGTTACTGCACCCCTCTCTGGCACGTCCTTTGTCTTTTCTTCATTTCATAACCTTCTGTCTGTCTCCCCAGTTAGTTATGACTGAAGGGTTTGTATTGACAATCACTTGGACAACAAAATCTTTCTGGATCTTGGAATCTTGCAGACGAGTCTTGTCAGTCAGGAGCTTCCCAGCAAAGAACCACCTCTGACGGGTCACATCAATTTCTTCCTGCTCCTCCAGTTGTTTCTTTAGCTCAGAGATAGAGTCTACCATGCTCGCTGTCAGGTGCACATCCTTTCCTAAGAAATCCACAAGGCATAAAGGAGTTGACACAGATTTCAGAACAAGCTGTGAGACAGTGAGAAGCTATCTATTACAAATTAGTCGCCAGCCTAGGTGAGACATGATGCTTCACGATATTTCATGTACCTTTATTATAGGTTATACTGGGTGTTTCTTACCTGTTGACAATCGCACCCGCAGCTGGAACTCTTGTCTGCATGGAGGGGGCTGAGCCTGCTTTTGTGTGGATTCAGAAACTTTGCTTTCACTGGACGTTTCAGAGATAAGGTTGACAGGCGGGGCTAAAGTGTATGCTGGGAGCTGGTAACAGTTTCCCAGTTCATCATAACTTTCCGTGAGAGAGCCTGCAGAGCGAGAAATTACCTACATTAAACAACCACATTTTAACTTGCAACAGCAAATAACTTTAACCATGATACACTTTTTCTTTCTTCCCAACAATAGTCAATTAACCAGAGGAAGTTTCAGGCTATAACATTTGCTTTATATTTACTTGCATAACATTTACATCAACAACACAAGTATCATTGTACCAGCAAAACATTTAAAAGCAAACACACCATTCTGTGAGCAGATAAATATGCACAGTGTTATTTCCACCTAACTCTGTCGTGGCTCTCTGTGCACCAATCCATTGACAGTGGTCAGGCAGCACTGCAACTATTATGCAACTATTACAGGAATAATCTCTGACATTTTGAGTATTATGACAGAGGACATTTACAGCTTACAACTGATAGCTGGAAGAGGCACATTTTCATATTTGAGAGAGCATGTGTGTGTTCATGCACCTGTGAGTAGTTTCATACCATGTGGCAGAGTAATGCAGGCTCCATCCACTATAGCCTGTGCTAGCTCCAGGTCATTGCACTCTGCAGCCAGGGCTGCTGCTCTGAGTGCATCCCAGATCTCTTTCCGTCCATCGAAAGCTGGAGCCGTATCCCAAAACTCATCCCTCTTACTCCTCAGCTGGCCCTCTGTCATCGGATACTCGCTCTTCCATTTTGGACACTCCTTTTTGAGGGGCTCATTACGTCCTGACAAAATAAGAAGACAGTATTTATTCTGATCTAAAGACTGACCTAGAACAGATCTAAAGACTGTAGTCCAGTTATTTGGGGATATGGATGACTTGCCTTTTATGCACAACTTTTAGATTTTAAAAACCTGCCAGGAACCACATTTACTGTAAGGTTTTGCAACAACTGCAGGTAAAACAGCTTTGAGAAACTAGCTTATATAGATGGTTGACAGGTTGATTCAGACATCAGCTGCTTCAAATATGGCTGTGCTCTTCATCCTTACCTTTATTATTATTGCTGAAAAATAATATTTTCAGCAAAACCAACATTTCTCACTGTAAGATACATTAGAGAAGTTACAATGCAGGAAACTGCTCTTTGTTAGAACAGCATATAAGTAAACCAAGTAATTGTATACCAGATGTTTTCAAGATGGTATATACATTATATCATATTGTATCACCATACCAAGAAAGTCAGTTTGATTAGCAGAAGGATTCAAATCAAAGTGACTATTTATAGTGCTGGGGATTACTGCAGTGGCTAGTAACACATACATGTGCACTGACACACACACAATAGTACACACTAGTGGATTGTAGGCAGTAATCGCGCTTCACATAAAAGGATTTATCTTCTCGATCCCATAAGGCATTGGTTGGAGAGATGAGCACTCTTTGGCCAATGAAAGGCAGCAAAAACATACAAGTCTAGCCCAGCAAGCACACAGACATACAAACAGTAAACCACTACAAATCAGATGTCCCTGAAAACTGCGTAGCCTGCAGTGTTTCCGATCTCTACAGAGGGCTTGAGAAAAGGACAGAGGACTTGTGAAGCTCTTAAAGTGACCACTGGGTTCCTGGTCAGATGGCAACACTAAGAAGATGAAGTCTGTGGATTAACTTTTTTAACTCAAGCCTAAACATCCCTGGTGAATTGAAAAACTACCTTCTAAACCTCTACCACAAAAGGAACTGTAAAAAAAATCCCATCATGTAAATTAGGGCTGCTATCATTGCTACATAATACCATTTTACTAGTAGTACTACAAATCCATCATGCTCATAATATTGATAAATGCATATTAACATACATACATATAAGCTAGTTAATAATTCACGTATTAATTGTAGGTTTGCATCCCTAACAACATTTTGAACTTTCAAACTTACGATATAATCATTCAAGTGATGCAGGACTCCCGGAAAAAGCAGCAAGAAGCAGCACTGTTGAAACCGTCAATTACAGTGTTAGTTTTTCTTGTCATTTTTTGTTGTTGCTGCTCTAATGGTATTTCACTGACAGCTGCACCATAACTGTAAATCACTGATACACAAATCCACAAAAAAACTCTGTAAACACTACAATAACAACAGCATATATCAGTGTAAAATCAACACAAAATCCTCTGAGACAAGTAAAGGCACAACAAAGTGAGCTGCACAAACATGAAACCAGACAACAAATAATTCACCCTACACAAAAATATACACTTACTTTTCAGCACGATCTTAGAGGGTGTATTTGGAGCGTGATAGTTGTATTCTCTGGAGTTAGGTACTCCCATCGCTGATCTTTTGTAAATGTTTGGTGTCAGTCAAACTGCTGTACATCAAAAGTCTACAATAGTGAACTACAGCACCCCACCCTGAGGAGGAGGACACCCCTGCTGTGTCCAACCAGCTTGCTGCAACATGCACTTGATCTACGTTGTCACAATATCTACACTAAGAGCTCAATTCACTGCCATGACACTTCCCCAGTATTTTAAAAATGACCATTCTCCCTCCACTTATACCCCTTTTAACAATAAACACTCTGCAACACTAAAATACTGTAGGATCAGCTCATGGAAATATATGGGCAGAGTAAGTTCAGCGTCCTGGCCAAAAGGTAGTTTCTTTACACAGGAGGCTTAATCCTATCAGCTCTATTTAGAGACGGGATAGAAATACCCAAGACAACATGCTAAACCTATTAACAGACAAACCCTTGTTGGACTATTACTGTCTAAAGGAGAAGCTACTGTACTTCTGTGAAGGCTCCAACAGGGGATTGTTTTCCTTCATGATGGTTCAGCTATATGTGTGAATAAATGCAAACTTGTCTTTCAGATGCTGCACTCCAGCAGCTAGTAGTCAGTGATTGTAGTCTGTCATTGCAGAGGTCTTGTGTGTTTGCACTAAGTACAAAGCTTAGGACTATGAAAATGATCTGAGAGGTCATGTCTTTCTTGCAGGTAAATTAGCTCTTCCTACATGTAAATGAAATCTCCACCAAGTAGGTCAAACCCTGATATGGAAAGTATGTGCAGGCTCCTGCTGCTGCTGCTGCTGCTACGTTTCTACACACAATGCATGGCAATCTATAGCAACTTTTTTGGAACAGTGTTTAAAATACAGTCAGTACAGATCAGATGCATGACTGAGACATTTAACACCTGACTATAAGCTTTCACACTGAGAAAACCCATCTATACAACAGGGCTGTAGCAAATAATCATAAATGTATGAATTGTTAAAGCAGCATTTTTAAACAGGCCATCTGCATGACCATAAATAATGTATATCCCATTGCACTTTCCAGTTTCTGGTTAAGGACGTCATGTCCTAAACTTAAAGCAGTTCGCCTGTGCATTCACTAAAATATATGGTTATTTTAACAAATGAGAAGCTGCAGTACAACGAGCTCCAGATTCTCACCTCCACGTTTTTTACTCCTTGTCGAGCTTCGGACACTCCCTTGTCCGTCGGTCCTGTTCCTCCCCACACAGCCTCCCATCACTGTGCCTACATTCCACACCAAGAGAAACACTCATCAGTTTTTCGGCATCTTATTCGCCATACAGTCAAATACAAATGCCTTAAAATGCACATGTGATCATGTCATCAATAAATAAAAGGTAAATTATAATGTCTGAGTGACTTAAATGAAAACCATCATCAGTGACTAGTGACAGCTCAGCACTCCTTGTTCCTGTGAGGTCAGATAAGCTGCGATGTTTACGTCACGTGTACTGCCAGCTGATGGGGGCACGCGCCTGAACCTCGTGCCCCCCATGCTCCGATTTTCAGTTCATATATTTAAAATGCGTTTACGCAGTATTACAGTTTATATTGTTAGTACTTTTTAAACATGTACTTCGATAAGGTTTGAGTGATTTGCTTTTATTCGTCATTGGCCCTTTGTTAGTCCAGTTCAATAGCTTTCTAAAAAACTAAACAAACAAAAAATGACTACTTTGGGTATGTTTGCCTACCAGTAATCCAGCCTGCTAAATTGTGCATTCGTCTGCAGTTTGCTTGCCACATCCGAACTTGCTTCCAAGTGAAGTTATCACCCTGACGCGACGGTCACCAGAAGATGCCAGTCAGCAGGTTGTCAGGCACAAACTGGAGTCAGGCTGGCGGACTGGAGACCAGCCTGGCCCTGCAGAGTTGGCAAACAACTTCTCCAAAAAACAAACAAACAAAAAACAACCTGCAAACAATATCCGTATTCCACCAAAATCTAATGACTGGAGCTCACCCGCACAATCCTAATGCACGGATCTAATATTAAAGCCTTATCGGTCTCCACGCATGCGCGGTCTCTTAAAGGTCTCCAGACATTTATAGCCTAGTGTAGTTTCCCACATATAGTCATCACACAGAAAATATGAAAGGTGAGTTGATTATTTCTTATGAAGTCAAACAGCCACATCTCTGAGGGCTGAAACAAAAAAAAAAAATCAAAATGAGGAAAAAGCCATTTGTGGCCAATCAAATGTACTCAAATTATTGTTGAAATGCCATTTCTTATTTATTAGATTTGATGATGAACCTCCAGCTGAAGTGAACTGCTATCGGTCTGTGTGCGTTTTCTGTTTCAGACAAATCGGGCGAAGGCGGGGTACACCCTGGACAGGTCGCCAATCCATCGCAGTCTCTTCTTTCTTGATTTATTTGGCTAAATGAATGTCACCTGGAAAGAAACCATTCATATTTGTTATTTGGTTTAATCGTAGGGCATTTCCACTGCTGTGACTGCTTACTTTTGTCGTAATATTGTGGTTATATTGTAGTAATTATAACAGCAAGTCTCTGGATCCACCTGTGTAAGCAACAATGACAACAATGGAATTTGTGCGCTCAGGAATTTATAAAGTGAAAATGCAGCAAAAGGTTTAACTGACAGTTATGTGGACAGAGATGCCTACTTTAGCATTTCCAAACTGAAAATGCTTCATTTACAGTTAAAAGTTAAAGTTATAAACTCGAAAATCTGTATATGTGTAGCAATGATGTGCATCTTCAGTAATAACAGTGTAGATTTATTTAAATAAAGCACATTATAAAGACTTATTACGTAACAGGTACAAAATACATATAAATAATACATTTTCATGATACTGCATTTTTCCTTGAAAGTTTAAATCAAATGATAATATTGGACTGGAGTGGTGAGCAAATGAAATGGAGAGGTTGAGGTCACCGTGTCCCAAAATGATTTTTTAAAAATATCAGCTAGGGCAGTGTTAGGTATTTTTAGTCAGATAGATACTTTATGTATTAGAAATGTTTAGTGGAGATAGGATGTCTAGTTAGACTGTTAAATGCTTAGTCATGCTTATGAGTTTCTACAGGGTACATCTGGTCAAGGATAACTAGAGAGAAGAATTGATGACTGTCTTATGTTTAATATCATGACATGTTACTAGAGGTCGTGTGAGAATGTTTTTAGCTACATACCACTTAATCGCTTCATGTTTTGACTACTGCTATGACCAGCTGCAAAGCTGGCAACAGAGACGTCTCGGTTGACGTTTCTGTGTAGTATGGGGCTAGCCCAACCGAGGGGATATAATGTATAGGCCTGGTGGGTTCAGGGTCTTTCATCTTACATCTGCCTGCGAGCAGTTTGGAGGTGCAAGATACCTGAGCGTGTAATGTTAATTTTACCTGTGATCCTTTGAATAAATCAGCACTGTTTTGAAGTTACTTGGACTGTCTCGTCTCTCAGAGTTAGCAATGGTAACAAGAGCCATAGAAGAAAAAAACCAAAAGCATTTTGCTTAAAAAAATTTTATGCAGGTACCTTAGACCAGTGACATATCAGTCAGAACAAGTGGCTTGTAAAAATAACAGCCCATCATTACCACAATGCAAAGAGTCAAGTAAGAGCAGTTGCAGTTTGTAAGTAAAACACAAACCATCCATGGCACATAGCCTTTTCCAGTCCTAAACAATGTAGACCACTTAACACGAGCGAAGCCCCAGTAATATTTTGAGATATTAAACGTTGATGTACAACTGAAGAGACCTGTTGTATCAAACGACCAGAGTTTGTTGGACACAGAAAAGAGTGCTGAAGAAGGCATAGTCTGTCATACAGCCAGAAAGTCCTTTTTAAATGGAAAAACATTCCACGTCAAACCATTACCATGTGGGGTGTGTGCAGAGGGAAGGAGAACACGGGTCACCCAGTGACTAGAGACAAAACAGAAATCAAAACAGAGGTGACAAGAAGTACAAGGCAGCACTGAATAACATCATAACAGAAAATCTCTGCAAACACCAGGTAACACTCACCTTCTCTTCTCCACCCCAAGGAAGATTTTCCAGTTATTCAGCTTGCCATAGTTGAAAGGATTTTTGTATACCTGGTGGAGCATTTGACAATAAAGTAGCAATTAAAGCGTATAAAACTTCATTGACATGTAAACCAAACAACACATTTCCTTTAGTTGAGATTTTGCAGCTCATGATAAAAAAAAAAAAAAAAAAAAAAATAATTATCACAATCTGAATTTGTTGAACATTTAATTACCAAACATGCTCACCTGTCCCCATTTTTCCAATCGTTTTCTTTCTTTACTGTTAGTATGTCTTTCTATGCTGGTTTCTCCTCTGGATATGAGAACAGCATGCCAAATTGTTAGAGCTCCCAGGGCCAGTCCCACTGTGCTGAAAGAACAAATGACACCTTGTTTGATCAACGGGAACGCCTAGCCTATGATGCAGGTCTGCACTACATACTGACAAATTACTGTATGACATTCTTTGGAGTTGGGATGAACGGTGCAGCCTATACTCGCAATAAAAGATGTGATAAACAAACTGTGAACTTGGAAAATTTCTGCCAATAATACTTGGGAAAACGGAGGACATTTTCAAAGGATTGATACTTTATTTTTTGTTTTCTGAGGCCTTCCTGGAGCTGTTTCACCATCATTCATCATTTGTCTTTTGCACCTGTGAGCAGGTCCTCCGGTTCCTTTGTGCACTACACCCTCAAAAATGAAGGAGATTTATTTTCATAGGGACATCTTTGAGTATACTTAATTTTGTCATTTTACCAGTGTGAACACACTACACACACTTAATGTGCATTGAATTAGTTTTTAGTATGGATATGGGTAAAATTAGGAGGCATAATCCTATATATGGTGAACGGTAACAAACAAACAAAAAAAAAAAAGAGTGCATTTTACCTGGTAAGCACCCACATGTAGATGATGCTCTTATTAATCATCTTATCCTTAAAGGAGTATGGTGGTGCAGGCGTCTGATAGTTTGTCTTGAATAAAATAAAAAGAGCAGATATTATAAAATGAACATTAACAAAGATCACCTTAATCATGTTATGTATTTATCCAAACTGTACCTGACCAGAGGGGAGAAGCCCTATAAGAAGTCCCATCCCTGTTACTGGGACCCCTGGCTTTTCCATATCCAAATGCTTAAACCTCTAGTGGGACAGCCCACATGCAAAAACCCAAGTGGTAAAGACAGAAACAAGGCAGTGTCAGTCTGGAACAGCTAAGCCCCACCCAGAAAGGCACTACACATGCAGATAAAGTAACAGAGAAAGCCTATCAAGCCTTACAAAGACAAAAATCCAAGCAGGCACCCCAGCAACAGCTGTCAAACAGTGTGGTGCGAGTCCGAGCATCTTACCCCAAGATCACTGTATGCATCTAGGAACAGGTTTCTACCACTGATGCTACAGTAGACACAGCCTAAGGTCATGAAGAGACAGAAGGAGAAGAAGTAACGGTGGTTAAAATGACCCACGCAGTTATTCAGCCAGGCTGAGATGCTAACATTAAGGAAAACCACCATCTCTTCACAGTCACATACTGTGACTTCTAATACTACAAAACTATTTGAAATAATGTGAGCACAAAGGATACGACAATGATGGTCCATTTTCAGAATGCATCTGCAAATAAAAAAGAAAATATTCTGTCTGATACTTAAATAGACAATTGTGCAAGGTTTTTTCTTGAGACTATGGTATTCACCAGGCATGGGGAGCCCACCACCAGGAAGTGTTTTTGCTGACCAGGCTTGCACTCTACAAGGCCATTATTCCACCAATAGATGACACTCACTCACCTGTTACAGATACCACAGTGGTGTGTTCTTGCTGGTTTGGGAATGATGCATTTTTTGCAGACTGACACAAATGGAGTGCTGTTTCTTTCCTGAAATGAGGCATTTTTGTTGCATTACTACATGTAACTTTAATTTGGGTCCAAATTAGTAAAGGTTGCAGTTATGCAGAACAGTGGGAGTTGACATTTACCATAGGTGGACACCCAGGGGAGGTCTTTGCAGCCTTGTAGTAATGAAAAACAATCATGATGATGTTCCAATGTCCATAACAAATGTGCCAAGCAATCCATGCAGGAGAGTATGTGGTGAGGATCAGAGGCAGTAGGACCACATAAGCTATACCCAGGATGGAGCTGGTCAATATCACCACCAGCCAAACAAACACCTTATAAACAAAGACAGTGGATACCCATAGAGAACTTTCTTCAGAGATACACTTAAAAACTCATTGTAACTAATTAAATGAACACACAAATAAACATGCACTCACCAGGCCAAACCAGCGGGTGATATAATCCACAGTCCAAAACACAGGTTCGAAGATTGAGTCAAAGACCACATCTGAGTCCGTGAGGGAGTTAAAGTAAAGTGACTGTACTAGCAATTTCATATAAGCCCATCTCTCCCTAATCCCCAGAGGCCACCTGTTCCTTCCTCTCCTGGCACAAGGCCGCAACCGCACACAGCGCAACAGGTGGAGCACAGAGCTGGGACACCACCACATCCTATATGAGCACACCTACAAGAAGAAAGAAGCAGCAATAAACAGTAGTCACAAACTTGTGCCAAGTTGACACAGACACATCTTAAAAAATGAATGACACTAACTGCATGTAGAATATCAATCTACAACAAAAACGACAAAAAGTCATTTTGACTAACAACCTACACCTGAATGCAATTAGCAGTGATCTTCAGTGTGGCATAACCTGCTAAATATTTTACTGATTAGACTTCATAGTTTGACCAAAAATATATCTGGAGAAAAATAGTCAAAAGATTTATTAAGTGCAAGGTAACTGCTTGATTTGTTTGATCAATAATCCAAAACGATCCAATTTATTATCACCCAAGACACAGTTAGCACATCTTTATAAATGATAAGCCATAAAGAAACTAGGCCATCATAATTACCATGTTGCATTTGAGAGCCAGTCAACCTGAGTTGTTCATATAACTTTATCAATCTGTGCGAAATAACACTTCATCGAGTAGCCTACAGCCAAGCCTGAGTATCTGCTGATGAACAAAACAGAAAAAAGGAGGTGTACAAATGGGCTAACTCATTTGTTTATGAAACATATTGTGAAAAGCTATAGAAACAACTTGTGTTGCTGCATTCCAGACAAAGTGGAGTCTAGGTGGTTTTGCCTACCTAAGCATGTAAAGAGCATTGAGAACAATCCTAAAATATCTACACATGTTGCTGTTTTGAGCGGTCATGTAATTGTTGCTTTTAATTTGCATTTAACATTTTAATCTAATTCACACTCTAATGTTTTATCTATGTATGCATTTGAATGTTTTAGCCATTTGTGTGCATTGTGTTCAGCACTTTGAATTGCCTTTGTGTATGATTTGATTTGATTTATTCTTTCAAGCATGTAAAACAGTTGATATGACAACACACATAACTTTACACATAATCCAATATCAATGTGCTTATACCTAGTACATGCTTGAATGGAGTAGGAAGAAGTCAGACTTATCCAGTTCTACCCCATGACATCATCTTACCATCATTGGTTTGCAAGCAGTAAATCATTCACTTCTACGCACACACATATTATACTAAAAAAAGATTTTAACAGTGTTAATGTACACCACACCCACAATTTTGGGTTAATTAAATGTACACCACACCCACATACACCCACAATTACACCCACCACACAATTGTGGGTGTGGTGTACATTTAATTAATGTAATTAATCATTAAGCCTGTTCTTGCATGTATCTTGATTGACACATACCTTTATATTTATGTTTAAACTCGTCAATTCTATTACTATTCTATTCTATTCCCGTCCAAAATATATCTAACCCTTGCCAATATCGATATATTCTTTGCTATTTTGTGCTGAACATATCTGATATGAGATTTCCAGGAGAATTTGTCATCAACTATGACACCTAGAAACTTAACTTCATGTACCGGTACTCGTTCTATATTAGCTCCCCCAATTTTCAATTGAAGTTCATTGTCTAGTCTGCATTCCCAAATACCATAAATTTAGTTTTATCCAAATTCAGAGATACTATATTACTATCACACCATTTCTTTATCTTCTCAAGTTCCTGTGAAACCCATCCAGAGAGCTGCTGTAGGTTTTCACCCGATGCCCATGTGGTAGTGTCATCAGTGAAAAAGTGCTATGTAAATTAACTTGCCTTTCTTAACAGCTACCTGATGTACAGTAGTCCGGAGTGGGGCTGAGGTTTGTCATCATGTCATCAGGCAGTGTAGGCTATTCAAAGACTATAAACTGTCGCTAATCCCTAACAAATACTTTGTCCGTAATACACAATGTTCTGAAAAGTCTAACTGAATCCCAACAGACCCAACTCACTGCCTTGTGTTTGGATGTCATATAGTGTCCTACAGTGTTTACCTATCCAAACGCCCGACGCGGAGTGCTGCGGCTCGTATTCTAATATTTCATACCATTTCAAACTAAATTTAAGGAATACTCACTGTTTTATAAAGGCAGGGAAACTGCCGAAACCAACCCTCCCGTCGACATGGTCAAGAGCAAGACATAAAAAGGATTCTTGCCACAGAAAAAACGGGAGCTGGGACCTTCTTCACCTGCTAACTGATCTGAAGCCCGGTCCGGAATTTGTACGCATGCGCCAGAATAGTGGCGAATGAGTAAGAAACCCACCCAACTGGTTTGTAGCAGTGTCAGGAAAGCAATGCGGTGGATACATGTTTTAACCTGAATGGAAATGAGGCCATGGTGAAGAATAGAAAATTGCCGTTTAATTTTTACTGGTATCAATTGATAAATAGCCTAACATTTTGGTGACTAAATAAATCAAGTAGGAGGCAGTAATGCCAAGGATTAAACACCGAAGAAGAAGAAGAAGAAGAAAAAGAAGAAGAAAAAGAAGAAGAAGAAGAAGAAAAAGAAGAAGAAGAAGAAGAAGAAGAAGAAGAAGAAGAAGAAGAAGAAGAAGAAGAAGAAGAAGAAGAAGAAGAAGAAGAAGAAGAAGAAGAAGAAGAAGAAGAAGCGATCAGTGTATCCAAGGACTGGTAGGGTGGCATTTGGTGCAACCATTCATTCCCCAGTAAAAAAAAAAAAAAAAAAAAATCCATAAATTAAAAAAAAAATCAATAACAGAATTTTAGATCAAATATCAGTATTCACGGCAGAGATGCTTGCAATATTATAGGAGCTATGGTGGGTAGAAAAAAATAAGATGGCTTGCTCTGTGATATGCACTGAATCACCAGGAGCCTTCATTATAAAAAGATAAATAAAAAAAAGTTTAGACTTGATATACTGGCTGTTTGTTTGGGTACCAGCACATGTTGGTAGCCTCATGAAGAAGTAGATACTGCCTAAGATTATACTCAGGATGAAGAAGCAAGGATATTCATAAATCATGGGGAAAAGGGAAATAAAGGGAGATCCTGTTTTAAAATCCAGAATACAGTGAAAATAACTAAAAATTGTTTTGTTTGCAAAATAAAGAATTTGGTTGTAATTACAAGGGGGTTAGGGCTTAGGAACGGACTAGCTGTCATTGGAAAACATCCAGATGGCAAATGTGATTGTGGCAGATCAGAGACTGTAAGACACATTCTCGTTGAGTGCAAGAATTGCTGTCATCAAAGAGAGAAGCCGTTTAGAGACCCGGGGGGGGGGGGGGGGGG